GAGTCGTCATCTGATCTTATTCTCTTCGTAGCTATGGCGGCTTTAACATGGATGGCAACTCGTGCAGCTAGCAGACATCTGGTGTTTATGCTTCTCACTGCCTGCGTCTTCCATACATTTGTCTATCAGTTAGTTTTATTTCCCTTCCACTCTTGTTAAATACGATTTAAGGATACCAGTACGCAGTAAGTGATCATGAGCCTTATATGGTCTCTATGATGCGCTACTCTTTTTTTTCTTATTATTATTAGGTTTCCTTTTCGAGTGGAAACTAGAGGAGTACTTAGCTTCTTTAACTTCTTTTATTCAGTTTATTCTTTAGGATGCTGTACTCCGTGCTTCATATTCGTGGCTGGTTAATGGTCGTTGCCCGTTTCGCCTTTTCGTCTGCTATATCTGTTGGAACATTTTTAGCCTATTCGGTCGCAGGAAGTGTCTCTCAAAAAAGAGAATAACTGATACAACATTTATCTGAACTCCGTTGTTCCTCGCTGTCTTTTGTTGTTATTTTTGTTCGAATGAAGCTGTGATTTCTTAATAAATCAATGTGTAGACGCTGTCAGTTCCGTTTCGAGCAATGCGGTTCCAGATCCGCTTTATTTCATTGCTGGATGGTGTGAAATTTCTCTCTAGTACAACTTTGAGCTTAGTTTGAATCTTGTATTTTATGCTACTTCAATTATTTAGGTTTTCATTTTGTTTAGTTCATCAGGTACAGGAGTGAGAGGTGGTTGTACATTTGTAAAATTTTCAAAGCTTTCCTATTTCACCTCTGTTTTTTTCAGCCTTTGGGGAGGTTTCTACTTCATCGTACTTCTCGGTCTTCCTCTTTTTTATGTAGCACCCTATCTGCTCTCCGCTCTCTACACTCCCTTTTTGTTGCTCTGCTAGCCTGCCTTTGATTTTTCTACCTAAAGTTTGTATATCATCATTCCAATGTGGCTGCTCTAGTACTCAGGCCAAAATTTGTAGGGAGTAAAATTATCCTCTTTTCCGGCAGTTACCGTTAGTGATTTCACGAAATGGCTGTTCATTGCTCAGAAAGCCTCTGTGCTTGAGCTCAATCTCGAGTTAATCTATGGTACTCTCGCTCCCACTACATTTTCTATTTCTCAAAAAATTTCTTAAGACTAGAATGACAGCAGGTACTCTTGTTAGCAGTTAGCTTGTTTACATATCCCCTGATTTCCACGTGAGATGGGGTGGTTTGTGATGCCATAGTTCCTTTGAACGCCAAGAGTGGTCAGTAATGACTAAAATGTGTAAGAGATCTTTAAACACTTCCAGCAGATTCGTGGATCAGATACTCCACATAATAGATACTTATAAAACATGTGGTTGGCATTTCAGCAATGGAGCCGGATCTTGGGCCTCCTATTCCGCCAGCGGTGGAGGATTATGTCATACCTGAAGAGTCGTCGTTGTTAGGTCCTTGCGAAGGAGTTCAGATCGAGCCATCGAGTGAATTTGTCACGCCACTTTCGCCAACGAAACGATTCGGGTGCGTTTCTATTAATTTTCAACAAATCAAAGTGGTTGTGGAGGTAAGTTGCTTATTTTGCCCCTTTGTTCTTTCTATCTTACGAATCTGAAAAGAAACGTGGACTTTTTTGATTCTTTCGCTATCTAATGAGGTTCTTTTCAAAATATTAATACAATCTTCGTAATTAGGTAGCCTTTGTCAAAGAAGAAAAGCTATTGTTGCGAACCTTCTTCCAAAAAGCTTCTAATGCAACTGACATTTCAGTACCGCGTACTATGGTGTTATATGTTGGGCGCTTGCCTAATATAAAAGCTAATTCGCCTGTTTATTTCTACTTGCCATTATAAGAAATAGAAATCTTTGAGTGAAGAATACGGTACTTCTAGTTCAGACCACTTCAACAAGCCTGGATTTAAATTTGGCGCCCAAACACCAGACTGGGTAAAAGCTGCTATAGTCAACTGTCTCGGGTGAAAATTAAGTGAAAAGCAGTTTAATTTTCTCGCGCAAAGACTGCAACTTTGACGAAGGCTTTTCTATATCAGAGACCTTTTTGTCGTGGAACCGTTTACAGTTGAGCTCCTCTTCCCGCTCAACTATTCATCACTCTCCACACTCCCACACTGATACGATCTGTACAGTTGAACAACACTGTTGTAAGTGTTGTTCAAACAAGCTTAGTGATTTTTGATTACAAGGAGGCCCGTAGTATTGTGCGTGATCAAAGTAACTCTCGAAGATCCTCAGTTTTTGTCAGCTGATGGTTCATTCATGGTATCTGCGATTGCTATTGGATTTACGCTAACAAGTTTGATTGAAAGATCAGAACGAAAGCAAATAGTCATCATTCTGTGGAATGTCTATGATTTCACATTGGATTCACTGCAAAATTGTGGAATTTTCCATTTGTTCACTGTTTGATAGAATTCCAGTGCTCGTATTGCGGAAGATTCAATGGTTCCGCCCGAGTCCCCGGACATGAAGTTCGCCCGGGATCGGCTCGGTACCTTACTGACGTCCATGAGGCAAGGTGAAACTCCCTGGCTGAATCCGCTGGACAAAAAACCAACGTGAGTGGCTTTAAGGATAATTCTTTCCATAAACTGCTTTCGACGGCGGCAAAACAAACGTTTATTTTGAGGAGGTGTTTTTTTTTTCACAGAGTAGTTTCAGAGTTGAAACGAGTGAGTTCCGAAGAGGACCAGGTCGTCCAAGGAAGGTACAGAATAAAGACAAACGTGAGCTTAAAATAATTCCCTTGAGCGAAACCGAAGATGTTCTCACGTCGTTTTTTGATATGTATTGCATTTTTCAGAAGTAGTGTTCGAATTACGTGGGAAGCCATTCGGTCTTCGCGATGGTCAAACAGAATCAATGTATCAGCTATGCAGAGCATGGATGCGCGGTAAATCCACTGAACCATGCGAACCACAAAAACCTGCACCGCCTCCTGGTGATACATCTTTGGTATGACCGCACTTGATTAGTTTTGTAGCCAACAATGTTGGAGGGCTCTGTTTTTTTTATAACGGGAAGGTGGTTTATGGTAATTTGGCATCATCAACAGATGCTGGATCGAATCATGACCATTCTCTTGTATAAAAGTGACCAAGGAACAAAGAGGTCACTCCTGCATAAATCGCAAGTGTTCGGTGAATATTGCAAAATTTTCGATCGGAATGGTGCTTTGAGTTGGGAAGCTTGAGTGTGACATCTACGTGGAGTTTAAAATCGAAGAGCGAAATGATGAGGACCTGGTGGAAAGTTAAATTGGCATTAAGTGTGCAAGGTGGTTGGGCGTGATGTTGTCCACTGTGTTGAAGCCGTTGCGATACCACCTTTGTGGAAGAATATTGTAAAACGTCGTCAAGTCATAAATATGTTTAATTTTGGTACAGCGCCTGCCGATTTCCCCTATCTTGCTAACTTTAGGATCTTCTTGTAATGCGTGACATCGTGGCGCTCCCCCGAGCTCGCTCTCCATATCCAGAACCAAATGCGTGGCCCAATAAAGATGCAATAGACAAACTTGATGCTACGGTGGATCCAGAAGACGTTGACGCTTTACGTGACGAATATGCGAGGCACTGGAAGCAAGTTAAGAACGGGTAGGTCATATATTGTTACAAGGTGGTTTAAGCAGCAAGTAGGGTGATGGTGACAGCATACACAAGCATATGTTAAAATGTTAACGTTTCGTGACCATAGTTTGCATACTTATTAAATTAAGGTGGCGAGCTCATACACGACGACGTGCTCAACGGTACCACAGGAGTATTCGTCTCCTGGAGACAGTTTACCACATTAACCAAGAAAATGTTGCTTAATCAGGGTAAGTAATTTTTTCAACTGTCATGGTTGCTTCAGGAAAAAAGCGATTCGTGTTAAAAGGTCCTACTTCAGTAGGGCAGGTCCTAATATTGTCCTTCACACAAAAAAGCCCAGTTTGGAGCATTTATTCCGAAAAACAAATCGAATAACAAACAGTAACAAAGTGCAATTCCACAACTTTTTCTTGCTTGACTTTTTTCTCAGGAATACGCTTGTTCCATAAGCATCCACGTTTGACTCTCGATAAATCTCGGCATAGTTTTGCATTAATTTTACAAGATTTTATTTAATAAAACCTGCTGCCAAGATGGTAAATAAGTTCTTATCAACTTACGTTCCGGCGTTATCGCCTTCTTCAGAGTTGGAAACCTAAAGATAAACGCTATCCATCCCTCATTCAACAATTCAACTCCAAAAACCA